AAAAAAAAAAAAAAAAAAGAATCATAAGCTGCCCAGGCTACCCGGCTGGAGAGAGAGATTCCTACAGGGAAAGTGAAGCAATTCAGTCAACAGTCAGCACCCGCCAGCCCAGGGCCTCTAGGGCAGAGATGGGTCGTCCCCACCGAGCCCCACTCAGATCCCTGATGCACAGAACCACAAGCCAAGAAATAGCCACTAGGTTTGGGAGTGTTTGTTACACAGCAAGACACAACATGGAGAAATGCAGAGAAGGAAGACAGAGAGCACTGTGGGAAGCAGAGTAGAGGGCTGGCTGGCCCCTGGGCTTCCAGGCCGCTCCTGCCGTGGACACAGACCTCGGGTGGTCGGGGTGTGGGTAGACCCCACCCACATCATAGATGCTATAACTTCCCAGGGAAGGTGTTTCCAGTGAAAACGCTGTTGCATTCAAGTCCAAGTTCACCAATTGTAAGAAAGAACATGCTCTCCCCTCTAACATTCGATGACCCAATCAGGTCTGAGATGATTTCTGTTTGAATAATCTTGAGTACCCTGATGGTTGTCACATGATCTTATTAAGTGTTCAGTATCCCAGCTCCCGGAGAACAAATATCAAAGTGTCACCCTGTGTTGACAAAGATCACATGCTAGAAGTCATCAGGGACATAGTCTGGAGGCATCTGGAGGATTTCATGCTGAGAAGTTTCTAGAAAGCTTCTGTCCAGACAGCACTGACTTGCCTCACTTGCACTTTCAATCAGAAAGTCAGCGCAGCTAACCAAGCCCCTGGGGACGGGTTTCTGCACAGGGTTTCTTAATAGACTATGATGTCTACTCATTAAAATTTCATTTCTCTGTGCCCTCATTTTGTTAGAAATAAGCCAAGTTCCATGAAACAAGTTCATATTTGAAATTAAGTTTTAAATTTCATCCAACATTTCCTGCCCACTGGGAGGACTAGTATCAAAACAAAGCAAAAAAAAAAAAAAAAAAAAAAGGCAACCTCCCCCTACCCAGAAACAGCAAGCATTAATGGGACGCAGAGAAACTGAAGCCCGGTGCACTGCTGGTGAGATGGGCAATGGTGCAGCCGCTGTGGAGAACAGGATGGCGTTTCCTCGGCAAGTTAAACACAATCACCGTCCGCTCTGGCAGTTCCACTCCTGCGTATCTGCCCCAAAGGGGGGAACACAGGGACTCGAAGAGATCTCTGCTGATGTTCACAGCAGTCTTATCACAATGCCAGAAGGCAGGCGTGGAAGCAACTTCGTGTCCGTCAGCAAATGAATGGATAAGCCGTATGAGCGCACACGTATGATGGATAGGGTTACGCCCTAGGAGGAGGGACACTGACACCTGCCACAATGGATGCGTCTTGAGGACACCATGCTGAGTGCAATAAGAAGACACGAAGGGACAACACATTCTGTGCGATGCAGCTTCCGTGAGGTCTCTAGAGTGGTCAGACTCACAGAGGCAGGAAACAGAACAGCAGGTGCCAGGGGTCGGGGAGTGGGGAGCTTCAGTTTGGGAAGATGGAAAGTGCCATGGATGGCTGGAGGCGGCAGCTGCACAATGTGAGTACCGTGACAGCTCGGCCTCCCGCGCCCCCTCCAGCCTGGGCCTCTCTGGGGGCCACCACCCCAGCAGGATGGGGTCGCACGTGGTAAAGCATTAACATGCCTGCAGCCACTCCCTCTCCATGCCAGGCCATCGTGCAGTTGCTGTGACAAGGACCCCGAAACACACACACACACACACACACACACACACACACACACACACACTTCCAAGTACCACAGAGGGTACAACAGCCTCCCTAAGCAGAGTCCCAAGCCCAAGGCCAGGCCAACTACATTCTGGGCTCCATCCCTGAGCAGGGCCCAGTCACAGAGCCCCCCACCTGTCCACAGACCACCACTCAACCCACAAAGTCACTCTGTAGTGGCCTGCCTTCCTGCCCATGCCACTACCATCTGCCCCTTCTCGCGGCATCGGTGGGCACCTGCTCCCCTGGGCACAGCCTGCACAGGTGAGGTCAGATCTTACTCTTTTCCTTTTGGTTTTAGAGACAGGGTCTCTCTCTCTGTCTAGAGTATAGCGGCAGATCAACCGGGCTCAAGTCATCCTCCCGCCTCAGCTGCCTGAGTTGCTGGAACTACTGGAGCATGCCACCACGCCCAGCTGATCCTTATAATATTTGGTAGCGATGGG